CTACACTGACAACAGAATACGGATACTCACCCACCAATGCTGAATAGTGACGAATGGCGGCTTTCGAAAATTTCACTCCATATTGCCAATGATTTTTAAATGCCGGCGTGTAATAAGAATATACGTCGATTACCCGGCCGGATGCGAGCTGGCAGGTGTCATGGTCAACGATAAATCGTTTATCAGCAAACCATGCGAAATCATGCACATTATTCTGTGTGAATCGTACCGTCTTTATGTCATTAGCAGACGGGGGGAATTCATCATATACTGTTTTATAACTCCCGCTTTTCAGTTTTATTTTTTTCTTTACCGGTGTCCAGTTAAATGACTGCCGCGCGGCCAGCCATTGTTTCTCCTGCTGATCCTGCAATTCACCTGTAGCGGCCACTACATAGTTCGCAGGTACTGTTATACGGACATCGAAACTGCCGAATTCACTATAAAATTCACCCTGGTCGAGATAAGGCATCGGGTGCCATCCTTCCCGGTCATATACCGCTGGTTTGGGGTACCACTGTGTTGCCTGGTAACTCTGGCCATCATGACCCCCACGGGAAAAATTATACGGCAGTCGTACATGAAAAGGTGTAGAGATTGTAATCTTTGCCCCAGGTGGCAGGGGAGTAGGTAATATCACCTTAACAATATCGATATGCTGGGGATGATCGACTGTTTCGGCAGTAATATTATTTACCTTAAAGTCGAGACGATTGACGTAGCCTTTCTGCTCTTTATCTGAGAAATAAAAGCGCGTGTTGCCATTTTCCAGCAGGTGGTCACTGAATGCGGTCTGGTCATTTTTATAGGCATTGGGCCACAAATGAAACCAAATAAATCGCAGGGTGTCCGGTGAATGATTGGTGTAAACGATTTTTTCAAACCCGTTAAGGCTATGCTCTTTGTCGTTAAGCGTAACGTCGATGGTATAATTCACTTCCTGCTGCCAGTATTGCGAAAGCGCGGACAGACCCGGGGCGCAGGCAAACGCCAGGAGCAGGAGGATGGTTCTCACACGAGTTGGTTGTTTAGTAAAGGAT